TTGTCTTTGTGCTGAATTAAAGGGATTATTTTTTAGGATGAAGGTATGGATATCAATAAATATTAACGATCCCCATCCCTAGTCAGACCAGAACCAGGCCGGGTTCCTGGTCCCCCGGGCGGCTGTGAGGAGGCTCTAACTCCTGGGCAGACGGTGGATACCTTGACTTCTCCATCGTTAGCGAAGTGGCCCAGAGCCGACATCATCTTGGGAATGGCGGCCGCCAGGGTCTCCTGCACGCTCTCCTCCTGACGCTTGGCAATCCGGGTGAGGCACGGCAGCAGGTTGACCAGGTACGGCCTTCAGCACCAAGGAGAGAGAGGGAATTCAATTTCATTTATTTTTAAACATGATATGATTTAACAATGTTTACATTGAATGCTTCATAAACATGCATCATGTTTCAAAAAGGAGTAGGATGAAGCATAAGTTTATGAAGCCCTACCCCTGAGTTACATGAGTCGTGGTGGTAAAGGACAATTATTTACAGTAAGACAAACAGTATTTCATTTCATTTTTTCATTTATTTTTAAACATATGATTCAACAATGTTAACATTGAATGCTTCATAAACATGCATCATGTTTAAAAAAGGAGCAGGATGAGGCATAAGCTTATTAAGCCCTACCCCTCAGTTACATGTGTCATGGTGGTAAAGGAGACCATGACACATGGTCGAGTACGGAAACCAAGAGAAGAGGAAAAAACCTCAGACTGTGACGCCGTAATCCCTGAAAACAGGCTCTGAAACTCTGAACTCTGAAATAGGCTAATCTGATCCGATATCTGGATCAGATTAGCCGCCGATATTTGCAAAAAAATGTGTATGGGCGGGCAGGAAAAATGCAGATCCAGACTCAATTTCCTTTTTTTTGTTTTTTTTTCAGTCCGATCTGTGTTTTTCTAGCTTCCCGTTTAAAATAATCCATTCCCCTTTGCTGTGTTTTTCCCTAATATCCGGTCATTTCCCAGCAGAGTCTTAAGCATTAGCATTAGCATCTCTAACCCACAGGTCTGTGTCCTAACCGTTAAGTTGTTATCAGAGTAAATCCCTGTTCAACATGAGTCTGACAACTAAGTAAGTAGAATAAATAACGGGACATCCCTAATCTGTTTGCAGTGCATTTAATGGAAGTGAACTCTTTATTGGTAAATAATGATGATTTAGGTTTCCAACAAGTTCTATAATGACTCAATATGAACTCATTACAATAAGAGATGAGAACTGTAATTAAGTTATAATGTGTATTTTTCAATAAGTGTTGAGTTATAAAGAAATATCCAACAATCTGACAATCTACTGTCCAATAACAGCAATCATATCAAAAGCAGCAGTTCTGCACCAGCAGTTTAAAATGTGTATTTTAATTTCCTCCATTTGGGTTCCTACCTGCATTTCTGTGGTCTGATGAGGTGGGCAAGCTCCGCAAACCTCCACAAAGCCGCCCGCAGACTCCGAGAGGCACCGTTCTGTTAGGGTCAATCATCCAAAAGTTTAGATTTGACACCTGACGGTACTTTTTCACATTTTTGATCATTTAAAAGAGGGGGAGAAAAAAAGATGATTCTGTTTATCCATATCTAATCTGTTACCTTTTTTATTTCTTTGTAAAGCTCCAGCTGCAGTCTAGGCAAGTTTGAGTCCATCAGCGCCTAAAGAAAATCAAGAAAAAGAACCAAGAAAAAACATGAATGACTTAAAAAATAAAATAAATAAAAAACTCCTTTCATGTGTACTTAAAACCAACTTACCCACTGACTGACTGTCCACTCATTAAAACACATCCATACAGATGTAATGAAACATGACAACCCTAAAGCCCCAACACAATCATTTTCCTACTCTAAGGGCTATTTTTTTCTGATTGGTCAAGACTGTCTAATCACACCAGCCCCTCTGTCATCTCACAGAAAATGTCAACAACTGTTCCTAAAATCTATCAGGTTGCTTTCTGAAACAAAGGCAGGGATTGTTTGTAAATCCTGACCATTTATACTCGAGCCAACTGGGCAGGAAACAGCGTTTTGTGGGTGGAAGCTTGATTGAGCTAAATATTTATGCCTGTAACAAACCAGTCTGCTAAATAATCCAGCAAACTCAACGGAAATCAACAGAAAGATTGAAAGGAGTTTGAAGGGTTGTGCTCACTTTGATGATTTTGTTTAGGCACTCATCAGCCACCATCCGGACATCCGATTCGCTGTCATCACTGCACAGAAGGAACATCTCCATGGCGATGCCCAGCAGCTTCTGAAACTCTGGAGATGTTCTGTTTCCAGAGCCAAACACAAGAACACTACATGTTCAATACGCTCATATTTCACACACATATAAACACGACTGGAGGACCTGATCTCAGTCTAACCTTTAACTCTCTGACACAAAGTGGTTATTTAGGAACATTATAAAAAAACAGACTAGAAAAAGAGGACAAACTTGTAGGTATTTTTGCTCCAATGAAAGAGATATTTTCCGAAAACTCATGAGAAAGCATTACTAACATCCTATTTGAGTGTCAGGATTTGTAACTGAACACTTTCTGTGTGCTCAGTAGGGTTGTCAAAAGTATTGATACTCAAAATAGTATCGATACTAAAACGTATCTGGATACGATACTCATTTTCAAAAGTATCTATACCCCCCTCACCTGTGACGTTAGCCTTGAATTGCTAGCTGTGGCTAATGGCTAATTATAACACGCCAACATTAATGTGGGCCATCGGCCACCACAACATCAGTAACAGGTCAGTTTGAAACCAAAGACACTAACCTGTTGAAATTCAGTTAAATTTTGGGGTCTTTGTTTTTATCCTTGTGGTATCAAATGGTATCGAATATTTTCCTGAGTATCTGTATTGAGTTGAACATTTTAGTGACAACCCTAATGCTCAGAGACCTGAATACAAGCATTTCCTTTCCCCGTTTCCCTCTCAGAGGCAGTGTGATCAGGGGGGGGGGCACTACCGGCCTCCACAGCTGCTGTTCTTCAATCTTACACGTTTCCCTGATCGCTCAGTTTTTCGCAGGACTGCTGATGCCGTATTGATTTTAATGAGGTAATGGGGTGTGTTGAAGCGGGAAATAATTAAAACCTGCTGGACGATGGCCTTCG